AATTATTTCTGATTTCATTTTTCCCAGATCCTCTTTTGTTGCCAGTTCAGAGAGTCCAGGTGGTTGAGTATCAGAGTGTTCCATCTCATTTCCCTTTGGAGTTGCTGTAGGTGATCTGGAAGTCTGTTTTTGAGGCTTGTTTATATGTCTTCTCATTATCCCGGGTGTGTGGTGCTTCTGGGGCCCACACAGCTCACCTTTTCTGCCCTAGGAGCTTGGGATAGAGGCGGGGAGCTTCCTTCCAGGTGCTGGGACTGGCTGAGCTTCACTGCCCTAGGAGCCTGGGATGAAGGCGGGGGAGCTTCCTTCCAGGTGTTGGGACTGGCTGAGCTTCACTGCCCTAGGAGCCTGGGATGGAGGCAGGCAACTTCCTTCTGGGTGCTGGGGCCAGCTCACCTTCTTGGCCCTAGGAGCCTGGGATGGCAGTGGGGGAGCTTCCTTGCGGGTGCTGTGACTGACTAAGCTTCACTGCCCTAGGAGCCTGGGATGGAGGTGGGGAGCTTCCTTCTGGGTGCTGGGAAGTTCTAATTTTTGAGTTCTTTATATATTCTAGATAGTCATCCTCTGTCTGAGGAGTAGCTGGCAAAATTTTTTTCTACCCTGTAGGTTACATCTTCACTCTGATGGTTGTTTCCTTTGCTATGCATATTTTTAAATTTGATATAATTCCATTTGTTGATTCTTGATGTTATTTCTTGTGCATTTCTGGTCCTTTTCAGAAAGTCATTGTCTATGCTTATATCTTCAAGAGTTTTACCTATTTTATCTTTCAACAGATTATGTTTCTGTTTTAATATTTAGATATTTGATCCATTTTGATTTTAGTTCAGAAAATGGTAAGAGATATGGATGTAGATTGAATCCTCTGCATGTGTGTAGCCAGTTTTCCTGGTACCATTTGTTAAAGCGGCTCTCCTTCCTCAAATGTATGTTTTTGGTCCCTTTGTCAAAGATCAGATTGCTTAATGTGCCTGGGGTGGTTGTGTATCCTCTATTCTGTTTCATTGATCCATGTTTCTTTTTGTGTCAGTATCATACTATTTTTAACACTGTAGCTTTTTAATATAATTTGAAATTGAGGATTGTGATGCTTCCTGCTTTGCTCTTGTTCCCCAGAACTGCTTTTGCTATTCTGGATCTCTTTTAGTTCCTAATAAATTTTAGGATTGTATTCCCCATTTCTCCAAAGAATGCTGTTGGTATTTTGATTGGGACTGCATTAAATGTATATATCACACTGGTGGCAACCTTATGATATGCATGTTACTTGTTTTTATTTTAAAGTAAAAGAGGTTAATGTATGACTTGTTTTTTTCTAAACTAAAACCTCAGTACTCCGGTTTAATTGCAGACTTGGCACTTTGTGATAAATAGTGTCTTGGGTTGCACTTTGGGCACTCCACTCTAAAGAGACACCATCACTGATATATGTTTTCACAGTATGGCCATTTTGATGACATTGGTTCTTCTTATTTGGGGACAGAATATCTTCCCATTTTCTACCCTTGATCTTAGCCAAAAGGCTGAGAAGTGATAATCTTCCCATTTTCTGATGTCCTTTTTGGTCTCCTTTTTCAGAATATAATAGTTTTCATTATAGAGATCTTTCACTTCTTTTGTAAGGTTAATTCCTAAGTATTTAATTTTTCTGGAAGGTATTGTAAATGGTGTTATTTTCCTAATTTCTTTCTCAGTGGGTTCATTATTGGTGATTTTTGTGTGTTGATTTTGTATCTTGCTACCTTGAGGAATTTGTTTATTTTTTCTAGGAAACTTTTGGTGGAATTTTTTGGGGTCTTCTATGTAAAGGATCAGGTTGTCTTTGTATAAGGGTAGTTTAACTTCTTCCTTTCTATACACGTCCTTTTCATTTATTTTTCTTCCCTAATTGTTCTGGATAATATTTTGAGAACTATATTGAACCGTGCATCCTTCCTCATTTCCCCTTTATAACATCCAAGCAACGAGTCACCCAAGGGTGCAAAATTCCAGAGCAAATTTATCTAAGCTTCTCTTAACCAAACTTCTCAAGTTGACACAATCAATCAACCATCACAATTGATATCCTTTTCTTGTTCCTGTTGTTAGAGGAAAAGCTTTCAGGTTTTTTTTCTTCCATTTAATAAGAAGTTGGTAGTAGGTTTGCCATAAATGGCTTTTATCAGATTGATATAAGGTCTTTCTGTACCTATATTTTCTTCAGGGTTTATTTTTTTTATATGAACAGATATTGGAATTTGCCAAAGACTTTTATGCATCTATTGAGATGTCATGTGATTTTTGTCTTGCTTGTCTTTATGTGATGTATTAGCTTTCTTAATTTGCGTATGTTGAACCAGCTTTGCAGTCCTTAGATGAAGCCTTCTTGGTCATGATTTATGATCTTTTCAATAATTTTGCTGCATTCTGTTTGCCAGTATTTTGTTGAGAATCATTCCATCTATCTTCATTAATGAGATTGATGTATAGTTTCCTTTTTTTAGTTGAATCCTTGCCTGGTTTTAGAATCAAGATAATGCTATATTCTAGGAATGAGTTTGACAGTATTCCTTTTTTTTCAATTTCATTAAAGCATTTGAGGAATATTGGCATTAGATCTTCCCTTAATTCTTGTGGAACTCAGTGGTGAATCCATTGGTGCTGGTGTTTTCTTGGTTCGGTAGGGTTTTTAAATTATTATTACTGCCCTAATTTCCTTCCCTTTTATTGAATTACTTGAAGTTAGTTCTTGAGTTCCCTTTCAATCTTAATTTCATTTTGCTCAAGATTAGTCAATTTCCCAATTGAAAAGATCATGGGCCAACTTGGAATACTTGAGTAAATAAATTATTTTGGTGATATGCATTTTCTTCACTTATAAAATTAAAGTAAAAGTACCTGTGGTACAGAGTTACTATGGGATTAAAAAATGTGTTTTTAAAGTCCATTATATAACAGGTAATCAATTTTTGCTAATTAACATTTTAGAAATCCTAAAAAAAATCACTGTATAGGTAAATAAGAAAGAACTTGGCTTCCATAAATTTGGAGCACTGGTTGTAGAAATCTGGCAAAATAGAAGTTAGGCAGGCAGATGAAATGAGTTAGTAGAGTTGTATTTACTATCCTACCTAAAAGCTTGCCTAGTAAGATTTTTTTTTTTTTTTTGGTACTTAGGACCTTGCACTTGCGAGGCAGGCAGTAGAACCACTGAGCTAAATCCCTGGCCCCTAATAAGATTTTTTATTGGCTGACCTCAGGCTTTGTGTTTTGTATTTTCATTTTGAAGTAGTGTAATTTTTGCATTTACTTTGAGTTGCCCTTTATTCTATCTTTTTATACTTTAACAAATATAGGCTGAGGATGTAGCTTAGTGGTGCCAAACCTTTCTGGCAAGCTGAAGGTCCTGAGTTCAATCCCTGGTACCAAAAAAAAAAAGAAAAAAATGTTTTCTGTTTTTTAAAAGTATATTTACTATAAACATTTCAAACACTAATATTCATACATTATGGGGACATTCCTTCCTAATTCTGTTGCTAAAAGATTACATTAAGTATTTATTCATATTTTTATGCAAAACCACAGGCTGTATGTACATAAATTTATATTTTTATGAATAATATTGTATTATATAGTGTCATTCATTCCAGATCTTTAAATCATGGTGCTGAGCTCAAGTCTCAGGCCTTTGTCTATAAAGTTGGGATAAAAATATTACTTACCTCATGAACTTGCTTAAGTTAAATGAGAAACATTTGTGACACACATATACTTTCTATAAACCATTTATACACATACATATTAGTCTAACTGTGTCATGCCTATCATATTGCAAATAACAGCCATTATCATTATTCTTTGCCTGAGATCCCAAAAGAGTGTTTTGTTTTAGTGTTTTTCTCTCACCTCCTCATTGCTCAAAGAGAACAATGACTTGAAAACATCGGTTGGGTAAATACTGTATTATCATAATTACAATTTCCCTGAGAAAACTGGCTTGCAGTTTGAATATTCAGCATCTTAATTACAATTTCCATAAGGAATGTAGAACAGTTATTATAAACAACACAATAATCTCTTGGTCCATAAGGAAGAATGGATTATTAGGGGAATGAGGAGAGGGAAGTTTCAAAAGTCTGTGTTCTAATCAGCATTCAGGAGTAGAAACACAGAACCAGAGTATAAATTATACTACCTTCTTAAAATACGCTTTCCTGAATTTATTGAAAAACCTTATCATGATGGTAAACTTTCATAGGTTAAGTGCTGCCTATGTATTTTTTTCTTTTACATAATTTAGTTTTATCATTTTTATTAAACATCCCCTCTGTATCTCTATTCATTGTCATTCATAATATACCACCAAGAAATTTTTAAAAGGAAACTATCTCAAAATATGAAAAGCACAAAATGTTTAAAAACAGTTTAGGGGGGAAAAGTTCATCAGGTATTTCTCCACAGTTAAATGCTTCTCCTTTGTCCAACAGAAAATGGGTAAACGTTTTTTTAAAAAATAAAAGAAAATGCCTTTTTCACTGCCTGTATTACTTTAATTAGTTTTATCCTAAATTTCTTTTCTTTCTTTTTTTAGGAAAAGTGAGAAAAGACAGAATGCAGCTTCAAGGTTGGTATTTTTCATGACATCTTAAAACATGTATGCTAATACAAAATAGTGTGAAAGTAGCAGAGCAAAAAGTATCCTTAGCTTTTCACAGAGAGCTTTAAATGACATTATGTTTTTAGTTTCTTCTCCTGTGGATGGAGACATACAACACAAATTTTTAACAGAAGACCTTACAACAATGAAATAAAATCACTGATTTAATCTTTAGTAAAATTGTGAGCATGGGATTATTCAGTATCTTTCCACTCATCCATTCATCATTCCATCCATCCACCATGTATATATTTCTTTCAACGAATGCTTATCATATACATATTGTGTGCAAGGTCTTGTAATCTGACATTCCTCTATTCATGTTTTGTAAGATTGACATTCATCAGATTTCTAATCTGACCCCTTTTTCAAGATACCTCAGCCAATAGAACTTCCCTATTATCACAAAACTTCAGTTTAACTTGCAATATCTGATAAATGAGCAGGGTTTTCCCAGCAATGCCCACACATATTTAAATATGTCTACTCTCAAATCGCTGGAAATTGTTAGTGTAATAAAAAAGGAAATGACTATAGCTCTAATAATGGACTGTATGATATATTTGTGTGTAGGGAGGTGGGTAGTATAGTAATCTCTAATGTCAGTTACACTTCCAGAAAATTCTAGATCAGTCTTGTTTTCCTCTACCTTTTGAGTATTTTTAAGACTTTGTGATCAAGAAACATACAGCTGTGTTGCTACTATAAATTTTAAAACAAAAGGCTTTAGCTAACATGGTAGACAGGACATGTATGGAGTGACTGTAAGAATGGCAGTCATAGATTAAAGCCAATTTCATGTAAGGCAGAGAATGAAATTTTTCTACTGAGCAAGAATTGGTAAATCAAGATTAATAGAGCATTTATTAAACTAATTTAAAATGGATAAATATTGTATTATTTTAATTTAGGTGGTTGTTTCATTGCTTTATTTTAATAAACATTAATATTCTTCTAAAATCTTTCTGAATTTTATTACTATGTTTGATTTCCCCAATCTTTTTCTAAACAATCTTGTGGTACTCAACAGAAAATTCTACTATCAGAAGAGTTTTCAAAAACATAACTGTCATAATTGGGAAGGGACTCCCATAGCTATCTGCCTTCCTAATTTAATTTAATATAAAATAGGCTAAATCACTCCAGCTATCAATATATTTAATTGAAATACTGGGAGATAGTTTGTAGTGAGAGATTGGGCTCTGGAATCAGATCGCCTTCGATTTAATCCAGTTTGTCCATGTAGTATCTGTATATCTTGGGCCAGTTTATTAACAGCTGTAATCCTTGATTTCCTTACTTGAAAATGAAAGAAGTAATGGTATATGCCCTATAAGATTCATGAGAAATATAAGACATAATATACTTATCAGTTACTTTGTCATATTGTAAGAATGCACTGAATGATATTTGCTACTCTTACTATGGTGCTATATACAGTTACTGTTAGCAGCATTACCAGGGGCTAGCAGCATGTTCATGTCTTTGAAATAAACTTCCTTCATGGCCTAGTTTTTAACATCCCACCAAAAAAGATGTATTCTTTGTATGAGAAGAGTTTGTTCCATGTGAAAATGTAAACCTCATGAGAATGTCCATCAAATTGAAATATCCTGTTACCACAAATTGCATGTGCTTTATTTTCTTTAATCTAAGATTTTTATCATTATTTACCAAGGTGAAGGAAATAAGCAATTTGAGTGATTGGTGAAAAAATAGAAGGAAAGTTAGTGCCAATTTTCAAATAATGTGCAGATGGAATCCAGCAGTGCCTTTGACTTTTTGTATAGAACATCCGTGATTCTTGGTGATGTGAGGCTTGGCAAATGGAGAGGAGTCTGCAGATTGACTTTCAGGAGAGCCTGGAAGCTATTCTTCCTTGGAAACAAAAGTAGTAGGATGGGAAATCTGAAGGACAGAATGGAAGAGCAAGGTAAAGGGGTATAATTAGAGATCTATTCCTCTTGGTGAAGTCTGTTGGCTTTTGTGTGTATGTATTGTCCTCATGTCCCAGTGTGAGGAAAGCAGTGCTTTCTTGGTAGAAACTGGCAAGAGATCTCAGAATAATACACTGGTATTCAGAGTAGCAGCAGTGGTCTTTTGTTGCTGGAACTTATGGTGAGCCCAGAGGCTAGGAAATCCTACTTTGTTCAGCCTACTTGAGTGAAGCAAAATCCATTTGATTGATGATATGGAAAGGAACATTTGCGAGCTTCACAAGATGCTAGATTACTTCTGACACTTACTGGGTGATTGTGTAAATATGTTTGCCTAGAGCTTCTGTGGAGAAAGACTTCTCTCTGACAATGGAGAAAATGACATCTGTAATTACATATGATAGAAACTGCCACTTTTTGCCAGACATAATCCCAGTACTCAGGAGGCTGAGGCAGGAGAATTGCCTTGAGTTGGAGGCCAGCCTGGGGTCCATAATGAGCTCAAGGCCACCTGAAACTACATAGCAAGACCCTATCTCAAAAAAAAAAAAATCAAAAGAATAAAAACTTTAGAAAAAAGAAATTGCAGTCTAGCTTTGTTCTGTGTACCATAATAGATTAGTATTTTTTCAAATCTTAGGTTGTAAGATCAATTTAGTGAATTCTCATCAGAGCTTTTAAAAAATGAAAAGGAAGAAAAATATGAATCAACAACAACAACAAAACAAATCGCCACATATATTATAATACAAATAAAGCAAGATAGCTCTATAATTTGCAATTTGGCTTCTGAGATACATAGCAAATTCAATACTGAGTTTATATATAAGTACATCTAGATGAAGGTACTATGTAATTCTCTAAGGATAAAGTGTTGGATATTTGTGTCCAAAATTCATATGTTGAAGTCCTATTTTCCAAGGTAATAATATTAGGAGGTACAACCTTTTTCCTAGCAGTTAGGTCACAAGAGCAGAAGTCTGCAGGGATGTGGCACAGGATAACTGCTGTATGCTTCCTACCATGTGAGGATCCCCAAGACATTGTTTATGAGGAAGCAGCCCCCCCGTACACCACATCAGCCTGCACTTTGATCTTATACTTCCCAGCCTCTCTGACACTGAGAAACAAATATCTGTATTTTATAAACTACCAAGTTGATGGTATTTTATTTTTGCAATCTAGATGAATTGACACCAGGCTTCTTATCAACAAAGATCTGAAACATCCTTGAGCTGTTCACGCATTGAACTCCAGAGTTGAATAGTAATACTTACCTCTCATCCTTGAAAGTTCAATGCCATTATGGAGAAATTAAAAGAGGAAATAATTTTGATAGCTCCAGACGCCCCCCCCCGGAAACCCTGAAATATTTGAAGAGGCTCAATTTTGAAATTTCTTATGACACCCAGTCCATTCCTGTAATATCTTATCATCACTCAGCCATTTATGCATGCTCTATATAAATGTTTACAGTAACACATTAGCTACTATAGATATATTCATACCTTTCTCCCAAAAAATAATAGATACTTAGATATAAAAATATTTCAGTTATTATTTATGTTGATCTTTTCTGTTTTCTTCAAATAATAAAATCCAGGCTCATAGAGATAGTAATCCCAAGTCATGGAGTAGACACTAGCCAAGAAGGGGGTCACAATCACATTGCTTACCTCTCTTCTTACTATGAGGCATCCTGGTCTGTTTGGTAAGGAATTCAGGAGATAGAAACTGTTCCGAAAACACAACATTCTATATCATCCTGTTGCCTGATATATCCATGGTCCTGTTTTTATTTTTATATTTTGAGACAAAGTCTGTCTAGGCTCAACTCAAACTTGTGATCCTCCTGCCTCAGCCTCCCAGAGTTTTGGTATTTGTCAAGGTTCCAGATGTCTCTGCCATTTTTAAGTATTTTTCATACCCTCTTACTTACCTGAGTCTCTTACGAGGTCCCTGAAGGTAGAACTTATGGTTGCCATTTCTCTGTACTTTTCCTGTATTTTTAAGGTTCTGTGTAAACTTGGGGGAACTTGTTTGGATTCTTAGTCTTATCAGAACATTCAGTTTCTGTTTATCTTCTGTAGAAGATCAAAAAAAAAATATCAAAAGAATTCAAATAGTTTCATTTGGGGGTGGTGATGTCACTCAGTGGTAGAGCACTTGCCTAGCAGGTGTAAGGAGATGAGTTCCATCCCCAGCACCAAAAAAAAAAAAAAGGCTGGAATTACTTTAGTTTAATGCTCACTTACCAACTAAACCATTGGTGAACTTATACAAGTAGAGAATACCTATTGCAAATATGAATGGACACGTGGAAGATAACTGGGAAGGTCCAAAGGCTAAGTGTTAGAATGGAGGGTTGAGTGGATGCAATTTTTAAAACATACTCAAGGAAAGTTATAAATAAGAAAACTAATTTCCTTCTTATTAGAGATTCCAGCTCTAATTTCCTTTTGTCCTTCCAGTGTATTTGAAAAGAGGATGTGGCTCTTATTTCCATGTCAATTTAACATTTTCACACAGGCAGCATTGTGTTTGTATTTGAGCACTGCAAATTTAGAAGGCTATAAATAACCTATTTTGTCCTGTAAAATATACAGAAATGTCACTTGAGGAAGCACAGATTATATAATAATTGATTAAAGGAAATTCCAATATCCACTTGACCCTAACACCCACCAAGTAATCAATAGAGGGAACAAAACCAGACTTCAAATGGCAAACATCATTTAGAAGATAAAAATGAATAGAAGCAGAATTAACTAGCCATGTGCCATCTTATCCCACACTTGAGATTTAATGTCTAAATAATTCAGCTGGAGAAGCACTGGTATTGGAAATCCCAGGCATAGCTGAAAGAAGAGGCAAGACATTCCACTGGAAACAGGGGATTTATTAATTCTACCAAAATTATTAAATAAGACTGTTCTTATTGAAAATGAGACCCTTAACATATCTGAACTTGGCTGTCTGAACTGTGAAAGCCAATCTTGCCTATCCAAGGTAGGAGAACAAAGGATTCTT